GGGGGGGGGGGGGGGGGGCTCGTTTTGCCACGCCCCATATGACCGTATCATCTAGCTTTTATCAAATTTACAAAATAGCATAATTAATAATTTAAATTCTTTATTTTATGGGCAAAAGACGATATAACGCTTATTAGGGGCCTGCAGTTTTAAATGAGAAGTCATTATGAACAATGAAAATCGTAGGCTAAATGAAAATCAGCGAAAATCACGAGAATAGAGATGTTGTTAGGCAACCCAGACACACATATGTTTCATATCGTGGGTTGCCTGTGGTGGTATATTTTCGATGACGTGTCAGACTTTGACCTACTGATTCTGCGCAGTGAGTACCCAAATCGAAAATTCAAGATGGCGGGGGTTTTGTTCTTGATATCAAACGAGTGAACAAGAAAGGAATTTTACCGGAAAAATGTTCAAGAAACTAAAGCAGAAAATTGTCGAGGAGCTAGAGGGAGAGCAGAGTCAATCACCGTTACAAGGAAATCAAGATAGTTATTCGCAGGTAAAAAAAGAAAGGTTATATCGTACGCTTGGTTGAACTGTCTCGATTCCTTCAGTTACCAGTTGTACTATAATCTTTGTCGTTAATGAGTTAGTCTTTGAGTTCAGTGAATCTTAAGAGAAAAAATATCTAGCCTTTTTAAGTAATAATTTGATTTTATCTTCCCTCTTGATTCATTACGTGTACTCTTATAAAATAAAATTGATAACACCTAAACGGAAAATTAACCAAACTATTGCTTATTTGATTTGATTTTTTACTATAACTTTACTTTTGATTTGTAAGAAAGATCGTCATATTTGAGTCTAAGTTCAGTCATTTATTCATAATTATTCTTTCTTAATTCAGTCACCTTCTCGAGAGAGAAGGCCCAATCGTTCACAAGAAAATACGCCCTCACGACCTCCCACACAATCCGGAGACAGAACTCCATCATCCTCTGAAGCTTTAGCTGCTAATGGGGCTTCTAATAAAGCTAAGTCTACGCCTCACGAAGTATTGGCGCGTGTAAACCGATTACTGGAGGTATTACTTACTTTTATTTGATGTGGTTAGATTACGTGAAGACATGCTGTGTTTAAAGATCTACATTTATTAAAGATCTATATTTATTCACCTGCACACATTCAAATCAGTGTGTACAAAATAATTGATATTTTGTTAACTTACACTCTTGGTTTCAGTTTCTAATATATGAAAAATTTCAACCATTATATATATTTTTATGTTTTCGTAATAAGAAAAGCCTTAAATTACCACTCTTTTAATTGCGCACTGATTGAGACGACAGTCCTAACAGGGAAATCAGGCAATAGGCTTATGTTAATCAAATAAATATTGTACCTTAACATACAGTGGCAGTGTATTGCCCGATTATCTTTTAGCGACTGTTGTCACAATATTCTTAGATTTCTCTATTACTAGATTGAGAACAGCTAGTTTGTTGTAAAATATTATTATATCTGGCATAGTAGTAAGCTGTTTGATTACATGTTTACCTCATTCATACATCCAGGTGATCTTGGAAAGCACGCAATGCATGATTTTCTGACTTGAATAATAACAATTAACCTTTTTTTGATTTAAAAATGCGTTGTATTTACGTGCTTTTCTTATATGTGTTATGTGATTATTACCGATCCACACATATCTTTTTTTTTTCTGCTCCTCGAGGCACGCAAAGGTCTATTGGGATTGATTCTTTTTCAGCAAACACGATTTGCAATCTAATTGACTATTCAATTTCCACCAGATCACCTGGATGTTAATAACTCCCCTCATTGTTGTCAAGGAAATAARTGATACAACAATCCTGGAGTCCCATAGGGAACAGTTCTTAAAGTGAAGGGGGAATAACATTGTTTCTTTACTTGACGATCCTTTACAATAGACCAGTTTCAATTTCTAAATTACCACTGTGTTCCTTGATAACAGATTCATTTACGCAGGGTTAGGCTCGTATCAAGTATTTAAATATTCACAAATACTAATGGTAAAGTAAAGAATGCACAACTTCAACAATACAAAAACTTTTAAACTCAATGGACCTTGACTGGACCACATGAATATTCTGCACAAAATCTAGGCTAACCATGTAAATGAGTCTGTAATCAAGAAACTCAGTGGTATTTTGGAAATCAGAAATGGTCTATTCTATTAGAGTAATGTCTTCAGCTTGGGCATAATATTCATTCATTCTTGTGGTCTATAATGGGAAAACATTAAACCCAAGCTAAAGACATCTACTGTATAGCATTGAGTTTATTAGTTGAATGACTATGGGAGGGAGGATTGAGCTCTGTAACATTTTTATCTTGGGAGAGGAGTGGGAACTGAAGCCCCTATATATCCATTATATATGCCACTTGATTTAGAATTACTTAAGATATAATCAATGAATAGATCGGACTACTTTTTGCCATACTCTTAGCCTTTAAATTAGCTACTATCATCTAAGTATAATTGGGTAAATCTTCACTCAATTTTTTCACTTAGAGTTTATCATTATTCGTATTTTGTTATTGTTATTATAATTTAAATTTTGTTAGGGTGCACTTAATTTGGAGCCAAGCTCTGTTGTGCTTACCCTTYCCATGATAGCTGAGGATAATTGTCATGGATAAAGTTATGTAAATAATTAGCCCAGCCAACTATTAGTATTGGGGTTGATTCTCAGACTCTGAATCTAACATACACTGTATGGTAACCTTGGTGTAACGGTGTACTCAATGTTTAACATAACTGTCTGAGTACAAGGTCCCTTATCTTAGGGGAAAAAGCAAAATGAGAAACATTTCATATTTTATATCAAATTACCCTTAAGAATGTTCAAGGGCAAATGTGTTTTTCCCTCAAACTTTGCAGGGTAAAAATTAAAAATGGGGGTCACCAAACACACAGAGGAGTGAGATGATATTGAAAATTGCTTACATACAATCAATAATATTAAAGTTAAGCATTAATTATAAGCATTAAAGTCTTCTTTTTTTTTTTACAAAAATTAAATACCAGATTACTAAACATTTCTTGAAACAACCATCTAATAACCTATAAAAATAAATACATTCATTATGAAATTCCTGTAATAAATTTCTTCAAATAAGAAAAAATGAGGATCAACAATGTTGTTTTTGAGATATACAGTAGATGATTGAAATCATTTTCGCAACAAGTGTGACGAGCTTGATCTTGAATAACATAGGTCACACTACATGCACAGAACCCACAATTATCTTAAGTGGAAAATACCTGTAAAAAATCGTGTTCATCAATCAAGATCAATTGTTTGTATAATCTTTGCTTTTAAAACATTTCCAGAGTTTTTGGTATTTAATTGTGTGTTTTTGGTCTTTTTCATGTACAAACCTGTAAAAGTCTACTTTATTTGTCCTCTCTGTTTTACACATATTTATCTATACATTTTAAAAATATGTATAAAAAGGAAAATTTTATTCAATACTCTTAAACTTTTTTTTGATTTTTATTTCAACGTCCAAGTATTACACAAAACATTTTTGGTACTAAAAATCAAAACTATCAAAATTATTTTTTTCTCACTGGATATTTCAATAATAATCATAGCCACAACCCTGAAAAAATGATCTTAAATTAGTTTCAATCAAAACTTTTAAAAAACTATGAAAACGTTTCACATTTTGCTTAGCTGTCATACTTGACACGTCTACCAAGCATCTACATCTACCAATAATATTATAACCACAACTCTGAAAAAATAATCTTAAATTATCTTCAATCAAAACTTTAAAAAAACTATAACAATATTCCACTGTGTTTTATTATGTTCAGTCATGCTTGACACGTCTACCAAGCTATGCAAATGAGAAAAGCCGTTAAGCTTTAAATTAGCATACTGGCATATCATGTGACATTTAGCTCTTTGTCTAAATGCTGTTAGTGTTTTGACTTTATTATGGTGTGTTTTTGGCTGTTTCTTTAAAAATTTACACACTCCAAAGAATTGTCCAAGATCCCAGATGGATCTATTTGTCACAGAAGAGCTTTGTATTTCTACAAAACCAACATGAAATGCTAAAATACAGGTTTTTACCCAAGCCAAAAACTCAAATCTATGTCCTTGATCATAACCATCATTTAGGCAAATGGATTGAGGTAAATATAAAAGAACTCAACTTCTATTTCTCACTATATTTCTCACAACTTATAGTTTCATAATTGAATTTCTTTTTCAGTAAAAATGAGCAAATGCACCACCCCATTCTTTCTTATTTGTTCTAAATTTCCTTTTACAATGACTCTACAGTAGATTGATAGTAAATAGTATTTTATATTTTACTTGAGAAAGAAATTAACTAGTTAAAAGCTTCTCAAAAGTAAAGTAAAAATATTATACTTCTCTTTTAAATACTAATCGATAAAAATAATCCTAAAATGTTTGAAAAGGGAGTAGTTTGATCACATTTTCAACCTACATCAGTTCTATACAAACTCATTTTTAACTTCATGACTGTTTTTTGAATAATATATTACAATTCAAGAAACRCCTTATTAGAATTTTCTTGGATAATCATTTTCTATGTTTTTGGATATTTTAACCATTAGACATTGTTTGCAGTGTATAATTTGTTCAATATAGGAGACCCTAATTTAAAGTAACTTGTCATATGTCAATCTTATTTATTATTTAGTTTTAATTACAATGTACAAATTGTTTCCTTTCATATATATTGTACTATATATTTATATAATTATTTTATTTTATTAGTTATGATGTTTATTTCAATTTTATTGGTTATTTAGTATTGATTACCATGTACAAATTGTTTCATTTCGTATATTTCATACTATTTACATATCTTACTAATTATGGTGTTTATTTCAACACTGACACGAAGAAAGTATGAACAACATTAATAATTCACTTGTTAAAGTCTGTGTATAATTATTATATCCCAGTTGTCTTTTTTAAATCAGGCTCTCCAACTGTGTACACTGTATAAATGTCTAAAAATCAAATTTGAATATATGTTATCATTAAGTTCTCTTCTTATCTGTTTTTGACCACATACAGGCTTAGCCTTGTTTAAAAGTGAATCATTTAGAGAGAAAAACCAATGTGATGAGAAAAAAATGCAAGTTGGACAATGCTATAACATTTTGAAATTTCACAGACTTTAAATGATATCTATGATATCTAATTTATAAACAACCAGCTGATCTGAGAAAAAATGGTAGTTAATCAGATTGGAGAAAACTTGCAATACTGAGGTGTCATCAGTGGCGGATCCAGGATTCAGTTTCAAAGGGGGGTTCCATTTCTTAAACTGTGTATAATTCTCTTTTATTTAGTCGATGTCTGACAAAAAAATTGGCTCTAATCACCTAATTTACTATCTAGTAACGGAACTTAAAGGTAAATTAAACATTATAACAGTAAATATTTATCATTTCGTGTTCAACTTTATCCTTGTGGATACTTTTAAGCAAAATTTATATAAGACATATTTCTATTACCTAAAAGATCAAACCTTCAAGGGGGGTTCCATGGAACCCTTCGAACCCCCCCTGGATCCGCCACTGGTCATTCTTCCTCTTGAAATTTTCCCAGGCTTCATCACACCTCCCTTTTTGGGGTGACATCATTTCTACGTCACTATTTCAGATCAGCCTGTAGAAAGGATGGTCTGTGAGAGTTATCAAAAACAGCAGAATATGAATTGAATAGAAAAGAGAATAGACTTGATGAATAAAAGAATCAAGTTCAATCTCGACTTCAAACCATTGTTTTGTGGTCAGTCAAGCGAATTTGGGATAAGTCTATTGTATACAATACTTAAATTTATGAAATACTTATGACTACTGCTCTTTAAAGAGTCATACCATATCTTAAAAGATAGAATCATACAATAATATATTAATTAAATATGAAATACTTATTACTGCTGCTCTTTAAAGAGTCATACCATATAATACTTTAAAAGATAGAATCATACAATATTATAATAATTTATGAAGTACTTTTGACTACTGCTCATTAAGGAGTCATACCATATCTTCAGAGTATGATAGCATTTTTTGACTTACAGTACAATGTTCACAAAATATTGCCAATCATTCATGCAGTCGTAAGAATTTGTAAACTTAGATATTTCATGACTTATTACCCAATTTAATGTAATTCTTAGCAAAGATTATTGTGTGCTAACTAATTTACTTGCTAAAATTCCACAGGCCGGTACACCTCAAGAAGAAAAAAATGGTACTGCAAATGATTCCACCGGGCCACAAAGCACCAGCACTCCAAACAAGACTCCCAGTCRGCAAGAATCCCAGGATTCTGACACCCCTGGCAAGCTACAACATGGTACTCCTGCTAGTCCTGGTTATGGGGACAGGTCAGATGCTGAATCTGAGCCAGACCATGGGCACAGTACACCATCAACCACGAAGCTTGACATGGCAACCAAGGAAGAGATTATCATGTTGTATAAGAAGCAAGAACGTACYTTAACGAGATACAAAACAAGATTCTCTGAGGTAGAGTATTTTCTGTTAATTTATATCAAATTGGATAGTGTGCTTGCCTCTCACCTCTGGAGTCTCAGGATCAATTGACCTATAACATTATGACGCCACAGCTTGTTTACATGGGCAAGAATGATAGGAATTTAGGCGAAATTTTCTTTCATTCAGGATATTTAGTACAACATTTATCTGTTATCATCTTTCCCCATCTAATTAAATATTTTTTATTGTGATTTAATTCGTTTAGGTAATATTTTGCCCCCTCTAGCAACCATGATCCTTAGCGTTAAAACAATAGATTGTTTTGATGTGACGTCATAGTGTTATAGGGCAATTCCTGGACTTGGCATTAATARAGTTTGTTTAGTCTGTCCCTTGATTTGGGCATTTTCCTTAGGTTCCCTGGTTTTTCATTCCCAATTTAATCGTAATAAAATATATTGCTGTGTACCGTAGTATTGCAACTCAGAAATTTGTTGTTTGCAGGTTGTGGATGCCTTCAAGAATTTACAAAAGGAGAATGAAAAGCTGCAAGCCAACCTTGGACAAACCCAAGACAAAGCACTAAGAAGGATCTCTGAGATGAAAGAGGTACTGTTGATAAACCCTTCAACACATCACATTGTACTTGAAAATATTTATTTTAAATTTATAGTTTCACTTAATCTTATTTAACATTATTTTATAACAGGTAATATGTGTTGTTCTCTTCCTTACCTTGAGTTTTTTTAAAGGGATTTATTCTAGTTTTGCTCTTTCAATAAAAGTCTTGCTTTTTCAATAAAAATCAACATGTGAGTTGAGTGTTGTGTGTTGTAAAAAGTGAATGTAGTAGCTGTGTAATGTTGAGCACACCTCATGGAAGAGCCCCTTACGGGAAGTGATACTTGTCAAATATTATACTAACATTTCATAGACCTCTTCTGAGATAGCGAACATGGTTTATTTTGATCTAGTTTAGGTAAAAAAACATCTTTTGTTTATCGTGCCTTATATGGTGTTGTTTGTACCAAAGCTAGACCACAATGCATCCTGTTTATCAAACTCAGAAAAGACCTATTGAAATGTCATTTTCAGTTTAGTTCTTTATACTTACATGTATTTTCACATTCAGATATTATCCATACATAACTACAGTAATAGTTAGTCTAATAATGTGTCATACACACAGGCATATCAAAATTGTTAACCATTACTCTAACCTTGATGATGGCCGAGACAGCCAAAATCTTGGTTGTATTACAGCGCAACACGCAAAAGTATGACCATATTTAATGTACTGTATATGCATTATTACTTCTATGCAGAGGTTCTGTACATTAAACCGACACATTTACATTTCAATGCGAAGCTGGCTGTTTTAACCAAATAAGGCATGCAAAAGCCTGATCAGTACCCAAAAGCTTGTGCATAGAAGTACGAGAATACATTAAATGTGTTCATACTTTTGTGTGTTGTGCTTTAAAAAGCAGGATTTAAGGCAGATGAAGCAAGTTTCTTTTATTTACTATCTAACAATAAATTTCTTTAACAGACAATAGAGTTAGAAAAGCAGGCCAAAATGCATCTGGAGGAAACCCTGAGGCTATCCCTGGATGAGAAGGAGGACATTATTAAAGCACTACAGACTCAGGTGAGTTGGTTTTTTTTTTCAAGAACATCTGAAGTATGCATATCCATTATTTCAATCTTTATAATTGTTTTCAATTTTTTTTTGAATCCTTGTGTAGAATTTGCTGCTCAAGCAGCATGGAAGAATGCAGTCTGATTCATCTGACCACATTACTACAGACGCAACTCTTTCTGGTAAATAAAGTACATAAATTTTTAAAAGGCTTTACTGCTATTTTCGGCAATATCACACGGACTCAGTAGCTGCAAGTTGCCCTTTGAAATTTGTTTTTAAAAAAAGGTACCAACTGATTATTTTACGATGTGATATGATTTATGGAAGCGAAAAAGCAAATTTCAGTGTGCAACTTGCAACTATACCGATGTCTGAGTTTGACTAATATTGAAAATAGAAGTAAGTTATTAGAGTGAACAGGAAGTGGAACTATTAGGCACTCCAAGTTTAAGAGGAATATTGGGTCAAGTTGGCATTACAGTGCATTTTGGGGCTGCTTAGGGGACTAAATAGGTGCCATTTTGAAAATATGTCCCCTGAAACAGTACCACAATGCACTGCAACGGAACTCTACCCAGATATTTCCTCAACCTTGGAATGGCTAATATTGATATTGTAAATGTATTTTTCCAAACCGTCCCATACTCTATAAACCCTTGGTCTAAACATTACATGTACTTCACTGAACAGAGCTTGAAATAATGRCACATTGACGTCATTGCAGAATTGTAACTTGCCCAGTCAAATCTTTACCTTGCTGGTTTTTACCAGTAATGTGGAGCCAGAAATGAGGCATAACCAAGCTAACACTTGTTTGGCTGGTCATGATAAGGCCCAGTCTTACATGCACCTCATTGGTAATAGCAAAGAATGCGTCCCTCATATACTTGTTAGGCAAAACAAAAAAAAAAGTGTGTTTCCTGCTGTGCGACCAACCCTAATTTTCTTGCCGATTTTTGCCGACCCTAATATCTTTTCATTCCCAAAGGCACAACAGGGTTCCCAGTAAGCTCATTTCCACTGTTGTATCAGTAAAAAAAATCCGACCTACCGACCCCATTTTTTTTCCTCATGCAACAGGAAACACACTTATTTTTTTGTTTGGACTTAGTAGGTTGTACATGTAGGCTAACAATAATAGCCGTTAACCTACCAACATCCTACTATTACTGATATTATACCAACACCCTAACATCATTTTTGTGTCCTGTTCTCTTCTTTTGAACACCTCATATCCTTTTTACTTTCCTCACCTGTTTATTTGTTTGTTAAAACTCATATTGTGTATAATATCAATATGTGTAATTCCAGGTTCACAGAGTGATGAAGAGAAGATTGAAAGGCAAAAACTAGTTGACAGGGTAATGTAAAGAAACTTCATTTTCCTTTTTTCCTTGTTTCCCCTCCCATTAACAAAGCATTTAAAGACAGAAAACGCTAGGAAAAACATACAGAAACATGTATAAAGGAAAAAAACAAAACAACAACAACAACAACAACAAAGCATGAGGTTTTGTAAAACATATTAAAAACAAAACAACAGACTTATTTCAATGCCTCTGTCCCACAAAGGTCTATACTTATACTTTACTCATATTAAAGCTATATTTTCTCGTGTATTTGTTCAGACTGATGGTCTACAAAAAGAACTTGATAATGCAAAGGTATAAATGCCAACAATATATATTCAACAATAGTCTCCTTCACATGAGGGAAGGAGGGAGGAAGGGATAAATGGAGGAATGGATGGATGGGTGGGTGGATGGTTGGTTGGTTGGACGGACGGACGGACGGACGGA